GCACTCTGAATCCAGTGGCGTAGTGATTTTTTCAATAAAAAAATCGCTAATAAAAAATCCCGATTTTCGACTAAGAAAAAATATCGTAGTATGCCCTGAAACTTTAATAAACATTTCAAATTTTCTCCCAAGGTAGACCTTTTACTACTTGACATTTAAAAAATAATTATTGAAATCGGTTCACAACTTCAAATTTTAGGGGGGTGTTTCCATTCAAAATGGGTCACACTGTACATACATCCATCCTCACTAACTTCCACATTTTTATTAGTATTGATACTATAGATATAGAATTGATATAATATGCTCTAAGTAATCATAATTGACGATGTACTTTTTGTAGATATGAGTTGAGTAATGAATATTCCTGGAGTTTTTTCCCAACACCAAATCGTTATTTTTACACCTCGACACGTGTTTCGATCACCAAGTGATCATCTTCAAGGGAAAGATAAAACTGTGTTATCTTCCTCTTGAAGATGATCACTTGGTAATCGAAACACGTGTCGAGGTGTAAAAATAACGATTTGGTGTTGGGAAAAAACTCCAGTAATATTCATTACTACACCAAAGGTTCCAAACAGTACATCACAATGAGTTGAGTAGTTGAATTAGATTATTATGATCAAGTAAGTACCTGTGCAGGTAGTTCTTATTGGTGATTACGTGGGGTTAGAAAATTAGAGTGAAGAATCAAGTTTTAGTCAATCAGAAAAAGTTGTCTCAGACGTTAATTAACAAGCGATATCTCTGTTATTTGTGAAGCTAGAAGAATGAAACTAACGATATTTTCTTTATATTCAAATGACACCTCTGACAATTGAGGAGTCTACCTGTCATTGTGAATACAGAGAAGTAATGATTTTCTTATAAATCAACCAAATATCCCAAAAACGTTATGGAGCAAGCAAATTGTGCAAACCTTTAGATGATAAGCCTCATATTGTCTCTCAACTTCAGACAAATGTAATCATAGCTGATATGATGTTATGACAATGCACGTCACATTTGATTCTTGAGATCTTTCTAATCTACTGAAGGCACTTCATGTACAATTCTTTTTACACAGCCTCACAAAAAAAAGGGGGAGAACCGGCTGGCTAACGCATTGGATCCTTTTTTTCAATCAATCTCTTAGCATCTATCATCAAGATGGTTGCGAATTATGGAAAGGGGCACCATATTGTTACCACATCATTGTTCTAACGCTTCGAGCTACGAAATCTAATTGTCGTGGCCCTGTTGGTCCATAAATAGATAAATAGTCATCCACTCCAAGTTTTCTAAACAATTTCTCACTATCCAATCTGATGAAACAGTATCGATAGCTTTGCTTGAGCTAATGAGCTCCGTGCGGTCCATGAAACATCTTGAAACCAGAGATGACTCACGGTTTCCCAATATTTCAGATCTTCTTCAAGGTAGGAACAAATTTGGGAAAGTAACAATTTGACATGTGAAATATCATCGTGACCTAAATTTCTCCGTAAAATTAAACGTTTCAAAAAACTGTGGAATGATATTATTGATCATCAATGTATGGTTCCTTATTTTTTCGATAGTATGGTGTATTCAAATCACGTTCTTGTCTATATGGTTTTTTATGTTTCTCTTCTTTTGGGCACTGCCTGCTCGGTTTCTTATGAGTGGGGCAAGGAGGAGGGTGACTTCTATTTTTAATCTTATCCAGCCTCAAATTCATCTGAAACAATGAAAAATGTATTCCTTTTTGTGTTACTGAATCACCATGATTCGTTTTCAGATATGAAAGTTGGGATTCTTCTTTAATCTCACAAATAATTATGCAGTAAAGAGCAGAGGGGAGTCCGTTGCTTCTTCGAAAGTAGATTCTCAAAGGGTGTCCCAGGCGTTAGTTAACAAGTGATTTATCTGTTATTTGTAAAGATAGAAGGATGAAACGGAAGCGATATTTTGTTCTAATGGCACCCCTAACGATTATATACTTCACTTGAGTCTACCTGTCATTTTAAATACAAAGAGGTATTAATTTTTGAAGTCATACTTCTTATCGTGCGTTAAGGAAAAGTGATGAGAGGAAATTTTTACAATGCGCGCGCACACCGTCACGAAAAATCGGCACCCTGAAGTTAGCTTCCTCTTCTTTAATTTATATGGTCGTTGCTTCTCAGTCGAGTACATTTGGCCAGATTTCTCCTGTACATAGTGAACGAAAGCTTCGTCCAGGAGCTCAGTTGCCTCTCTCGGAGCAATGCTGCCACCTAAGTTTTCGGATTCATTTTCTCTTTCATGACCACACTTAATTTCTCTACTACGAGGTCGCCAGTCCTCTCAATATGACTCTCACAAATAACACATTTATTATCGCATTGACGACCTCGTCGAATTCGTCGACATCCATCCATCCATCCATAGGGCGTAGGGGGTCGCCCTAGTCCTCTCAAAATGTTTTTCACTTCAATATTCATTTGAACTTGACATTTTTCGAAAAACACTCCACTGCGACTACGACAGCCAGGTCCATCTTTGAGGAGGGTTGTTATCGGCACAACCACCCTCTGTCGCGATTGGAGAGAAACCCTCTGAAGTAAGCTAGTCAACATTTTAGTTTTTCAAGAAAAGTCACCAACAGAGTGAAGTCATCTACGTATGTTTGCGTGCAAACTGGCAACTGTATCAGGCGTATCATTACTTGTCCATCAATGCAAATGTCATCGCCTGACAAAAGTTTATGTCTGAATAACTGGATCATTATATAACCTTTCAATGAACTATACTACCTTTAATACTAAATAAAATATGAATTGAAATTACAAAAAAGTTCTGTTCCATTTGCTACCTTAATCAAAACTAATTATAGGTACGATACTGGCAGCAAGCGGCTTATCGTATTCCAATATTAGGTAATTTAGTTGGAAGAGTCTATACCTGCGCGATCGCTCGCCATCTGGTTTGGCGCTTGTTTTACCCCAATTGGCATTTCCTTTTGCTTTGAATAAAGGTTTCACTTTGACAATTTTCGCGATTTTCGAGATTTTCCACTGTATACTATAGGGCGTGCCTGTAGTATAGGGCGGGTTTTTAGTAGAGGGTGTGTCTATAGTATGAGGCGAATCTGATGTATATACACGCCAGAAGAAGCTATTGTATAGCAAAAAGCGTGTTGCGGTCATGAATTTCTTTCCAGTGAGAGGTCTGAGAACAAGAAAAAATCACTGGGGGCTAGATCTGGAGAATGCACTGGATGCAAAAGCAATTCGAAGCCCAAATTATGCAATTTTGCCAACCTTTTCATTGATATCTCCAGTCAATCAATCCATTGATTGATTTGTGACACGATGCATTATGTTAATGAAACAGCACTTTCTTTTTCTTCAATTGGGGCCGTTGTTCCGTGATTTTATTTTTAAACGCTCCAATAATGCTATTTAGAAGTCGCTGTTGACGGTTTTTTCCTTTTCGAAATAGTTGGTGAATATGCACACCCCCAAATTCTCATACCATAACCTTGACAGCTGACTGTTGCGTCTTTGCGCAGGCAGATGCCTGTCTCCGTTCCAAGGCCATGTCCCATTGCAGTGTACACACTGTGTCAGGACGGTACAAGACGGGAACATGACGGGACGTGGACGAAAACATCAAGGGACGTGTCGCTCTAGCGGAGACAACACGGCATTGGCCTTACTCGTCCTTTTCCCATCTTGACATGTACCTGTCCATTGCTGCCCTAATGTCCGTCCCTCTATAACAAACTATAGAACGAGAAAATGAACGTCTCGTCGTGTTCTCGTCCTGTAACGTTCTGTTGTAGTGTGCCTGTACCGTCCTGTTGCAGTGTTTGTTTAGTTCCCAGCACACCACGACAGGGGGAAGAACTAGACGGAACATTCTGTTGCAGTGTGCGGTAAGTTCCCGGTACACTGAGACGGGACGGCACAGGACGGGAACATGACGGGACGTGGACGGGAACATGAAACGACGTATCTTCGATCGAGGACAGCATGGCATTGGTCTTGCTCGTCCTGTTCCCATCCTGGCATGTGCCTGTCCTTTGCCTGCCTTAGTGAGCGTCCCTCCTTAAGAAACTATAGAAAGAGAAAATGAACATCCCGTCATGTTCCCGTCCTGTGACGTTCTATCGTAGTGTGCCCGTACCGTCCTGTTGCGGTGTTTGTTTAGTTTCAGCACACCACGACAGGACGGTTATATGACGTGACGTCCTGTCGCAGTGTGTGTTGAGTTCCCGGCACACTGCGTCAGGACGGTACAAGACGAGAACATGACGGGACGTGAACAGAAACATGAAGGGACGTGTACTTCTAGCGGAGACAACACGGCATTGGCCTTACTCGTCCTGTTCCCATCTTGACATGTACCTGTCCATTGCTGCCTTAATGTCCGTCCCTCTATAACAAACTATAGAACGAGAAAATGAACATCCCGTCATGTTCTCGTCCTGTAACGTTCTGTCGCAGTGTGCCTGTGCCATCCTGTTGCAGTGTTTGTTTAGCTCCCAGCACACCTCGACAGGGGGAGAACAAGACGGGACATTCTGTCGCAGTGTGCGGTAAGTTCCCGGTACGCTGAGACGGGACGGCACAGGACGGGAACATGACGGGACGTGGACGGGAACATGAAAGGACGTTACCTTCGATCGGGGACATCATGGCATTGGCCTTGCTCTTATAGTTCCCATCCTGGCAGGTGTATATCCTTTGCCTGCCTTAGTGAGCGTCCCTCCTTAAGAAACTATAGAAAGAGAAAATGAACGTCCCGTCATGTTCGCGTCCTGTGACTTTCTGTCGTTGTGTGCCTGTGCCGTCCTGTTGCAGTACTCGTTTAGTTCCCAGCACAACACGACAGGACGGGAACATGACGGGACATTCTGTCGCAGTGTGCGTTAAGTTCCCGGCACACTGAGACAGAACGGCACAGGACGGGAACGTGATGGGACGTAGACGGGAACATGAAAGGACGTTACCTTCGCTGGGGGACAGCATGGCATTGGCCTTGCTCGTCCTGTTCCAGTGTGCGTTGTGTTCTCGGCTCACTGCGACAGGACAGTACAGGACGGAAACATGACGGGACGTGGACGGAAACGTGAAATGACGTGACCTTCCAGAGGAGACAGCACGGAATTGGCGTTGCTCGTTCCTTCCTTAGTGTGCGTCTTTACAAACTGAAGAGATAAAATCAACGTCACGTCATGTTCCCGTCCTGTGCCGCCCTGTCGTAGGGTGTATGTGCTGTCCGGTTGCTGTGTGCGTTGAGTTCCTGGTGTACTGCGACAGGACAGTACAGGACGGGGACATAACGGGAATATGAAGGGACGTGACCTTCGAGCGGAGACAGAACTGCATTGGCCTTACTCGTCCTGTTCCCATCCCGGCATGTGCATGTCCATTGCCTGACTTAGTGTGCGTCCCTCCATTAGTAACTGTAGAAAGAGAAAATAAACGTCACGTCATGTTCCCGTCGTGTAGCGTCCTGTTGCAGTGTGCCTGAAAATTATGACGTTTACACATTATACACAATTCATTACACCTCCATATCAACATAAAGTAAATAGCACCTGGTTAATAGGTGGATATCATTGACTCAATTATTGCAGAAACAAGCTCTGAACCAATTATATTTAGTTTCAATTATCATACTGAACATTATGTTATCTAATTCACTTTGGTCATCCTACTAATAATATCTCACGTTTTTCAAAACGCAAAGAATTGAAAGTAGCCTACAGAACAAATAATAATTCATTGAAAATAATAAAGATACGAGTTGACTTGTGGTTCTTGTCATAAATTTTTTATCGGACAGACAGGATGGGCTTTTTCCAAAAGAATAAAAGAGCATATGAGTTGTTTTTTGAATGGAAAAAGCAATTTATCATTTGCGAAAACATCTCTTGACAGAGGGGCACGAGTTCGATCATAATTATGGCGTATTGCATTTGGAGAGATCAAAACTCAACCTTATGGAATGTTTAGAAATCAATATATGTAAAAATTCGGGATTATTGCTCGATGATCAAATAGATTTGAATTGTTTTCTTCTACAGAATTCAGATTGCAACCAGGAAATTGTTAATTAGGACAGATCTTGAAAGTAGATAAAATGATTGTTATTCATTATTCTCCATTCTTATGAAATGTTCCACGATATGTAAATAGTTCAGGTAATTGATTCATTGTGTGGAAATTTGGCAGGCAGTAATATTCATAATGATTCAAATTACTATAAAAGTACGACACAGAATTTCTATAAACAGTATTGTGACGCCAGAAGATGCTATCCTATAGCGAAACACGAATCGCTGTTTTCTTTAGGTTCAATATTCACACTTTCTCAAAGGAAGTTCCGAAACTACAGATAGTAACATTTATATTCGTGACAATAATATATTGTCTGGAGATATCATTGATTAATTCTCAACCCAATACCATTGAAATTCAATTAGACTCGTAACATTTCATTACAAAAATTGACATTTTCTCTATTCATTATTTTTATACTGATTCACTAATACATTCGAAATGATTCACAAGTATCTTCTCTATCGGATGTTTGGTCACTCAAATAATTTCATCATACTTCTTTTCAATAATCTCTTTGATCGGGAATGTACACTTTCGGCTTGTATTTCGGTTTTTTGTGCGATCCCTTTTTCTCTTCAATGCAGCAAGGGTTTTTCGGCTTGAAACGTTCCTGAAAATAATTGGAAATTATAATTTTCATAAAAACTATCGAAGGGGAACTTGCATTTTTAATATTCGAAACTGTAAACTTTACGAAAAAGCAAGTTCCCCATGTTGAAATTCGTTTCGTAAAACACAACTTACCTGTTTCTTCATTTAGTCATGGAAAATTAATAAACACGAAAAACACAGGTAAACGTTTCACATGGGGACCTCACCAGTTTAAAAATGCAAGTAATTTAGCCCCCGATAGAAAAGTCAGAACATTGTAAAAATGGAATATACAAGGTGATGAAGGTTTGGTGTTTTATTTGAATTGGATAGATACAAGACGTTTTTGTAGTTTGGGAAAAACTGAGATGTTTTATTCATCAATTTCTATTTTGTCCTGTTACGATATTTTCTCAATCACGGAGTCCCATCGTTTTACTATTTAATATCGCCCCGTATGTGGCTCCAAATAGAAATGAGTGCGGAACGAAAACTTTTTGCGCGCAAGAAAATAATACCGAAAATTCGAGACGGGATCCGCGGAGATTTTGAGAGGAAGTTGGATTAGATATTGGCGGCATACTCAAGGCTCTACTCAAACTGCAGTTTGAGTAGAGCCTTGAAGATGACAGCATAGTCAGCTATCGCAAGCGCTCGCATATAATAAATAGAAGTTATAAAGCTTCAAATCCTTTTTGTGACATGTTAAAATTGTATATATCTAATATACGGGGTGTAACTGAATAAGTGTAAAACATTAAAGGAGTTGATTCCTCATCGAAAAAAAGATAGGATCTTTCATATAAAGAACTTTCATTGGAGCATCCCTTGTTGAGATACAGCCCCTTAAAGGAGGTACATAAAGTGTGTATAACAATTTTTTTCACAAGCACTGAAAAAGTTACAATATTGAAATTAACCTGACATTTTGTACTACCAAAAAGACACTTACCCAGAAATTTATTTGGTTCACCCCATGATTGTAAGGTGTGGAAAACGCAACCCCTAAAATTTATTTCCAATGTAACTTTTTGTCTTATTATTTGTTTACAATTCAAAAATGTATTTCCGATAACCTGTTTCATTCTAAACAAAAAATGTCTCTTGGGTTTTTTGCCAAAAAGAAACCAATTCGCAGCAAAAATTATTTAACGAACAACTACAGAGATACATCGTCATAAATGCGAAAATACGAAACTAATCTATCAAGTAGGTCGCTATTAGCGATAGTGACAATTAAATTGATATGACGCTGTCAGTTTGTGAATTTTCAAAATTGAATTAATACTAATTGTGTGTTGTTGTTCTGTTCTTGATTTGTTACTTTAATAATAGACATATTGAACATTTACTATGAATTCTACATGTTGTGTATTTTGTTATTAACAAATTCGTTTTGTCTATTACCCTTCAATCGTTTAATGCAGGTACCAAATACAAAATAACAATAAATCCAGTTCGCATTTATGACGATGTAGTTGTTCGTAAAATAATTTTTTGCTACGAACTGGTTTATTTTGGGCAAAAAACCCAAGAGACATTTTTTGTTTAGAATGAAACAGGCTATCAGAAATAAATTTTTGAATGGTAAACAAATGATAAGACAAAAAGTTACATTGGAAATAAATTTTAGGGGTTGCGTTTTCCACTCCTTACAACCATGGGGTAAACCAAATAAATTTCTGGCTAAGTGTCTTTTTAGTAGTACAAAATGTCAGGTCAATTTCAATTTTGTAACTTTTTTAGTGCTTGTGGAAAAAATTGTTATACAAATTTTATGTACCCCCTTCAAGGGGCTGTATCTTCACAAGGGATGCTCCAATGAAATTTCTTTGTATAAAAGATCCTATCTTTTTTCGATGAGGAATCATCTCCTCAAATGTTTTACACTTATTCAGTTACACCCTGTATAGCGTTATTGGAGCGTTTGAAGGCCGAAATAAGAAACAAAAAAATGTTGTTCCATCAATACAACGCAACGTATCACAAGTCAATCAAAACAATGACAAAACTACATGAATTGAACTTTGAATTGCTTCCACATCCACCGTATTCGCCAGATTTGGCTCCCAGCGACTATTGGCTGTTCGCAGACCTCAAAAAAAAGCTTACCGGTAAAAAAGTTTGCTCGAATGAAGAGGTTATTGCTGAAACTGAGGCCAATTTCAAGGCAAATGATAAATCGTTCCACAAAATTGGTATTTAAATGTTAGGGTGGCGCTGAAATAATTGTGTGGCTCATAATGGGGAATACGTTGATGGATAAAGCCAATCTTGAATAAAAAACACGTTTTTTTTCTTAGGCCGGGGACTTTTCAGCCCAAAGACAAAAAGTTTTTTCTCATTTCAAATAATCAGTTTTTCCATTCTATTGTAATGCAACTATTTTTTGCTAAAAAATATTCTACAAAGTGAAATTATTCTAGGAAATGAAATTACTTCAACTGATTTTCTACAATATTGTAAAATAAATCAAATACTAAGTTCAGAAGAACTCTTGAAGAGAATAAATGATATACAGATCATCACCATCAATATTTCTGCAGGGGTATTCGAAAATTAATGAGACAACCCTTGTATATTCATTTTTTTCACCAAATAGCGTAGAAGTAACTCACATCCACTGTGGTATCTACTACCGGACATTTTCTTTCCCTGGTCGGACATTTTTTCTTTTCATCTGACCGATTGCTATTTTTACCCATTTCAAAACCTATTATTTGTGAATTATGACACATGCATTTTTGGTGGCAACCATCCGATATGCAGCCATCAGGAACGGTTTTCCTCTTTTTGCGTTGGCATTTGGGATTCTTTTTGGTTTGGCATTTCCTTTTGCTCACTTCATCATAGTCAGCTTGACTTTTGTCATACGGAAACTAAAATTTCAGTTGAAACTGACTAAAAAGAAATTCGTGTCGTACACAAGAGAATTCAAATGTCAATATCGTTATGAAATCAGTATCACGAATTTAAATTAATACAGTATGAGTGACGAAAGGATATGAACGGAAACTATACAGTACGATGCAAATGTATTGAATAAAAGCAACATTTGAAAAATATAGTTTCAAAAACTAAAAAACACGCTCTTGAAGAACATCGAACTAAAAAGTGTTTTTTTTAATAAGCTAAAAACAATAACGAACGAAAAATACTAGTTTTATCGTGAAACAGGCGACGGACGCTTGATATACAAAAAATATGGTACAGAGCTCCCACGATTTTCAGTTGAAAGCTTTTATTTAACTTGACTTGTATGTATGTTAACAAATCTTGCAAGTTTAATTTGACCCACTTCCCGGTATCCGATTGACCTAAAATTTTGTATGCTGGTCCAGAACCGATGACAATGCATTTTAATCATAAACGTGACCTGATGCTGCTGCCAGGAGCGGCTCCGTACGAGAGATCCCCTCAGCGGTAAACAGCAGGGACACGAAAATTTGTATACACATTCGTTAATGATAGGCAGTTGATAGGCCCACCATGAAAAAGATGCCACATCCAGGGTTGGCTTCAATAAAACATACAGTGTGACCCATTTTCAATAGAAACACCCCCTAAATTTGAAGTTGTAAATCGATTTTAATAATTTTTTTTTCAATGTCAAGTACTGAAAGGTCTACCTTGGGACAAAATCTGAAATGTTTATTAAGTTTAATGGCATACTACGATATTTTTTCTTAGTCGAAAATCGGGATTTTTATTAGCGATTTTTTCATTGAAAAAATCACTATGCCACTGGTTTCATAGTGCCTCTAAATAGGTGTGACCAAAATTTCATGAAAAATATTCATTATTAACAAAGTTATGACAACTCAAACATTCGCGCAATGGAGGGTTAGAAATAAGGCAAAGCAGGCACGCGTGTTGATAAAAAAAATACTTTTTTCAAATGAAGAAATACATGTAAAGTAAGTTCGAATTATATCAAGGAAGTTACTTACAGCGCCATCTGCCCGCGAATAGATCATGCAATAATATCGATAATTCTGTCAAACACAGATCCGGAGCTTGAGAGTTACGAACAAACAAATATACATATACACATACATACAGGTGAAGCTGATAAAAGCGTGTTAAAAAAAAGAAGCCCTTTGAAAGAAATTCAAAAATACGTCAACTTTAATTTTTGACGACCCTTCTCATGATGTTCATATGAGAGACGTTTCGTCACCGATATTGGCGTGATGACGTACCTAATCGACAATTTTTTTAAATGCAAATAAGGGTCGTATGGCACCCCGTTCATCGTCTATTCAACGGTATAGTTAGTTCAATATTTATTTATACAGAGTGAACCAAAACTTTTTATTCATTAAAAAACAATAAAATCACAATTAATGTTCAAATTGATGACCTTTATCAATGATACAATGTGAAAGACGGACTGTGAACTCTTTTCTAACGTTTCAGAAAACTTTGAGGGTTATTTGTGCAGTCTCCGTTCTGATGCGATTCTTCAACTCTTCTAAAGTCTATCCAAATCCAAGATAGAGTAGAACAAAACAAAACCGAAGCGTGATGTTCACTTGATAGCCCAGTGTCAGATGGAAAGGACAGCGTTCATTGGTGAATTCGCCTTCTTGGTACGAGTTCGGTACCAGCACAGGGTTGTAATCAGTCGTTTGCGTGTTTGTGTGGCGTGCGTTATAGTATATTGTTTAAAATTGTTTTCCAAGATGTCCAGTACTGACACTGCTGATGACACTGTGAGCTATCCTCTGAGTTCAGCCAGGAAACGATCCAAAAAAAGACATTTGAGTGTTGAAATGAAAGAAGTGATTTTAAATGTGTTCAAGAAAGAGATGGAAGAAATTGAGACACAGACTGTCGACGAAGTCGTATCGAAAGTTTCCAATAAAATTGGAGTGTGTTGCGCTTCGATTCACAATGTTTTACAGGAATATAAACAAAATCATACATTTTTCAAACCGAATACAAATCAGAATCGTCAAACCATTATAAAATCAATAGATGATGCTGATAAACATGCAATCAGGAGGAAAGTGCATGAGTACTTTTTCAGAAATGAAATACCCACAATGAACAAAGTATTCACAGAAATGAATGAAGATGTTTTAAGCGGTCAACATTCCATAAAGTATTGAAACATTTGAATTTTGTATGGAAAAAACGAGGGCGCAATAGTTTATTATTGGATAAAGAGGAAATTGTGTTATGGAGGAGAGAGTATTTGACCAAAATTAAATATTATAGGGAACAACAGAGAACAATTTATTATATGGATGAAACCTAATTCCTTTTGATTTTACATAAAATAAAAATTATCAATAAAGAAATAATTACGACTCTTTTCATATAATGCTTGAGTACGCTGTGAAAAATCCAATGAAAATCTTTTTATATTACACATATTATTTGCATTTTTCCTGTTGAACTGCAAAACTTGTGCATTTCACTCGTTATTATAAAAAGTTTTTATAAGTATGATATAGCATTTGCGATCAACAAGATGTTGGTTCTGAATACGACCCTGGCCAATTCTTGGGATTTTCAATATCACGTACGAAGGGCATGTCAATGTTTACATCCACTCTATCTTGGATTTGAATCTGCTTCAGCTCAGATTATGAACTCGTAGAGAAGGAAGCAATTTCAAATTCTATATCGTATTTATTTCCAGGGGTGCCATAAGAAATATAAATTATTTTTAAATATTTACATCGGAATAATTTTCTACAATTAATATCCAAATGATATCAAAACATTTTTCAACATAAAATCATTTGAACTGGCATTTGATGAATTATTTCACATCATCATATTTGTTGTTTTTGTATCAATTAGATCAATTCTGAAATAGCTCCATTTATTATGTTTACATATGAAATTTTCTTGTTTCCAATACCTGTATTTTTTAGGGTGACCGTTCATATGGAAGTGGCAGAAAAAACTCATCTCATAAACTGAATATAAATGAAAAAAGTGACGGTGTTGAAAAAATATAAAGATTCAAAGTCGATTTGAATTTTGTTTTCTATTTTAGAGCTCATTCTATTGATGTTTTGAAAGTTATCAATTACACACTGATGATGATATACATCAGTAAAAAAATGTCGAGAAACTGTTTAACTCATACAGGTAATATATTTCTTCAGTCCTTTATCTGGTACGATAAGCAATGTGACAACCTTTCATTTTTATTGGAAAATAGTCATTTGATTGGCTCACCTTCTTAAAACCTTCGCAATTCAACGAATTTCCTATCGTATCCGACTCGATATCTAGCCAAGGATCAGATGGTAATATATTTTCCTTTGCACTCCAAAATCCATAAGCGGACGTCCACCCATCACATTTCTTTTTCTTCTCGGGACATTTTTCTTTTTTCTTTTCCCCTCTTTTCTCACATTTACCAGGCGGTCGTTTGCAAGGTTCCTAGAATTTATTGACGAATTAATATATGTATGAGAAGAAATATATCACTTTATATGAAAACTGATCAATCGACATTATGAAGATGGTTCATAGTCCAATAATTCACTTCATCTTGAAAATCAATCAGAATCAAGACATATTTCCAAGTTTGAATCGCGGATTAGCGTATAATAAAAATAATTAGGTACAATAATACAACGTGACTGATTGAAAACGGAAATTATCTGATAAATTTCTGTTGGGACGCCCGACAGAAGTGATAACTTAAACTAATCTAAGTTGAACAATTCAATATCAAAATTGTTCAATTCGAGAAAAGCTTAGGTCAGTGGTCGCCAACCTGTCGATCGCGAGCTACCGGTAGCTCGCGGAGGCAATTCTGGTAGCTCTCACAACGAGTTTAATTATAAAATACAAACTGCAAAAATCAGAGAAGCTTCACCAGCTTCAACACTAATTTTTTTTCATGTTATGGTGTATATTCATGAATTCAGGGCTTGAGTTCTAGATATTTGAATATGTCAACTTACAAATTACAAAACTAAAAAAAGAAGAGTTTAATGAAGGTTGATAATGAAACTTTTATAAAATATGTTCGACATGTCTTCCATTTTCTTCAATGCAGACCTGAAGTCTATGTTTGACTGTTCTATCTTGCGCAAAACAGCTGGTGTAATGCTGCCAAAAGCATTCGTTATTCTAAGTCGCATATTTTCGGAAGAAGATGGTAGCTCGATGTAAATCATATTTTTTATGTATCCCCATAAGAAAAAATCCAGTTTTGTGGAATCTGGTGATCTAGCGGGCTACCGTACAGGCCCATTCCGTCTTATACATTTATTGGGAAATGCTTCATTTAGATGATCTCTAACTTCTGCCAATTACATATTCTCCAATGATGCCTCCCCAGGCATTTATCGACCACCTATGTTGATAGTCCACCTGTCTCAATAAATGGGGATTTTCTGTAGAATAATAATGGTAATTATGTCGATTCACAAATATATTTTTATAGAATGTCGATTCATCCGACCATAAAATGATATTGAAGAAATATTCGTTTCGACGAATTTTTCCCATGGCCCAATTGCAAAATCTCACTCTTTTCTCAAAATCGGCATACAGTAGCGAGGCATGAAAGCGATGTTTCTTCAAAACTTGTTGCACTGATCTCTCACTTATATCCACTATTTCACCAATTTGTCGTTGACTCCTACTAGGATCTTCTTCAACAGCAAGATGAACTTGCATATCTTCATTAGTAGCTGGCTTGATGCGCTCATGTTTAGAATAATTTATACTTCCAGATTCAACAAATCGTTTAATTTTATTTTATTCGATGAAGGTTGTTTTAGGCCGAAAAAATATGACACAAATTTCGAGATTATTGTAATTATTCAAGAACGTACATTTTGCGGTGTAATTCACAACTTGTTTATCTAGCAACAGGTAATTTTAGGCATGGGGCGATATTTTAAGGAAAGGCTTGGACAAAAACTATGCATCAAATGAAGAAGTTGCACGGTATTCTATTTAGAGAATAAATGTTTTATAAAAATAACATATATCTCGATCACAGCCGTCACATATGGATTTCACAGTAAAAAAATCATTGATATTATGGCGATACGATAGAGAGGAAAAACTATAGGACACGCTATGATGTACAAAATTGAAACAAGATATCTTTCGTACATTTTTATCAGTCGTCAAATGGATTTCGCTTTGAAAAAAGTATTTCATCGAGTTTATGGCGTAGAAATAGGAAGAACGACCATTTTTCGAAAAAAATGCTTTTTTAAGAAAAACTATTGAACCTAGCCATAGGGAATACTTAATGAAATTTGTAGAGGTTTTGTTGGCGCTTCTTATGGACCAATAATATACAGGGTGTTCCATTTAAAATAAGGAAGATACTGCAAATTTTTATTTACAATATGTGGCAAGCGGTTTTTCATACCCTGTTTATCACAGATGGATTTCAGATATATCGTTTGAGAGAGTTACCAATGTAGAATATTTGACCAAAAAAAATTCAATTGGACTAGGCACAACTTTATAATTTCAAATATTCTGAGTGACGAATATTGGAAAAAAAAATGTCATGCTAGATATCTGGAAAACCGTCAATATTTTCGAAGTGAAGATATACATGAAGTGTCTTTTATTTTCTATGTAGAAACCGAAAAAACTATAAAAAATATAGGTTGCTATTCGAAAAGACACAGTTGGGTTCCGCCCAGAAAAAATTGAACACCCTATGTGACCGCCAATATTTTTATTTTGTCGAGATCGTGCAATGAGGTAATATTACAGAAATTTAGATTCCTATCTGCTTCCTAAATAGAGATATGGAACACCGCGCCACTCTTGCAGGACCCTGTATATTGATACAGAAGTAAGAACTCGAAAGTTTTTTTCCTAATAAATTATGTTATCGTATATTTGAAACAAAAAATAACGTATCGATCGCATGTTACAAAGTTTCAAGGTTTAGCGAAACACTGTAATTTACCATGATATACATTAAAATTTGAAAAATGTCCCGTATTCGAAAAACAAGAATACGTTTTTCTTACATAAATTTGTATCATTCCATTGATCAGTTTTGAATACTTACCTTTTTGGTGTTACATTCCTTCGATGGCATAAAGTTCACCTGCAAACAAATAAGAGTCAACAAATATAGAGTGAGACCATTAGAAGGCGGCAACGTGATACACTTTTTTATCAATCTGTCTGTCTGTCTGTTCTGTGGACCGAGAATAGATACATGAGGTACCCCAAATTTTTTTGTTTCATTTTTCATGCAAATATATTGTTGTCTACTATTTTTTGTCTATAATTCACAAACCAATTAAGGATACACCCTCTAATGCCAAAATTGTGTAGTTCTGGGATCAATATATCATGCTTGATGTAAAAAATCATATGCTCTACGGATAAGCGCCAATATTTCTTATTATTGTCGATTTCAGTTTGAATTTTTGAAACGATATCCATTGCTGCTGCCTCAGTATCCCTAGATTTGCTAAAACCATACTGACCACTATTTAAATTTTCATTCGAGTATTCCAAATTAACAGGTTGATCTTTTATGCAACAATCATTCTAAAATTTTGAAAAAAACTGATAATTCCGTGATTGGACGGTAGTTGTATTATCGTTTTAGCCATTCTCATAAACATGTGTGTTTAAATAATTTTTCTCCGTTTACCAGCTATCGCACCCCTTACATACCTACTTACATCGTTAATAACATATCCTGGTAGTGAATTCAAATTCTGTCGGCCAGCGATCGAAGTATGGTAACTCCTCCTGGGTGGTTTGATGCTTTCAACTCCCCCACATTTTTGCCACGGACACTGCATGCATTCAGATGGATCATCTTCTAACCTTTCAGCACACGATTCACTATAACTTGGATAAGGAGCCAACTTTTTAGTACATTTTGGCTGAAAGTATAACATGTGAAGAGAATATTATTTGATTTCATCACACGGATTTATTTAGTGTTAATTAATATAACTCACATTGAATTTTTTTCATTTCTACTACAATACTTCATCAAAAAAACTTTTATAAATGTTTTTCTTTTCAAATGGGTATTCAGTAACTTTTGAAAATATAATATTTTAATATATCATCAACTTTTTGTTGCAGAACTATCATGGAAGTAAAAGAATGTAAACTTCAAATAACTGTAGCAAATTTCAATCAAATCGGTGTCAGTATATTTATGATATTTTATGAATACCGGTTTTCTTAAACTTCAACGCCCTGTATCTCAGAAACGAAGCGACTCCAGACATATGTTCATGGAAACTTTTTTTCTTAAAACGACCTAACGAATAACCCTTTGAAGTTTCGTACATAAAAAGTGTATAACGATGAGATTGGAACCTTTGGTGTGAAAGTTGAATAACTTTTTTCGAGATCAATTGCCCTAACACCAAACTGATATTTTTGCACTCGACGCGCGTTTCGCCAACAAAGTTATCATCCTCAGGAGAAGGTTAAGGTTAATCCTTATATACTAAAATGTGTTACCTGAGGCTGTATACCTGAAGTCCAATATGGAATTTCTCGGTAATTGACTACCTCCAAGTTCTTAGTAATTATTCTCTTCCTAACAGAAGATTAAGAAGCGGGCTAAACGGGATGGGTCCGTGTAGCATCAATTTCATTGAAGCCAGGCGTAAGCGCCTACATTCCTATTTCAATTTCAGTATTCAAACAGAGAATCAGAGACTATCTTGTAGATGGTTTTCATAATATTAATGAATATTTAGAATATCCACATTCGCTAGTCCGCAATTAATTTCAAGTTCGGCATTACCAATTTCGACTATTATGTGTATGTATAAACATACGAGCTGTTTTTGAATTGGAAGGAAAGAATTTTTGGAAAATAAAGTTTCTGGCTTTCTACTACTACATCTTCATAAAAAAAAAGATGAGGGAATCTTCCAAAGAAAGGAAGGAAGTAATCAATTTGAAAATAATTAACTCTATACATGGATGTGTAGATCATGCAAAGAAGTAACTTTCAGACACAAACTGACAAAAAAGTCCTCCTGAAACAGCTACTTTTATATAAACAGTGAATTACACGAAAGAAAAAAAAATCTTTCGAAACAAATACTTCTATATGAACACTGAATTATACAGAAGATACTTTTCTCTACTCAGTTTGTATTTCAAACATTCGTTTGATTTTAATCCACAACGAATGTTTGAAATACAAACTGAGTGGAGAAAAGTATATTCTGTATAATTCAGTGTTCATATAGAAGTATTTGTTTCGAAAGAATTTTGTTTTCTTTCGAATAATTCAATATTTATATGAACGTAGCTGTTTCAGGAGGACTTTCTTTCAGTTTGTGTCTGAAAGTTACTTCTTTGCATGATCTACATATCCATGTATAGAGTTACTTATTTTCGAATTGATTACTTCTTTCCTTTCACTGGTAACGTAACGTAGCTGAGAGCGTGTGAATGCCCAATGTTACCTGCCGCTCGAGAAGCAGCAAGAAACATGCCGATGTCGATGGAACTTCGGCGAAAATACTACGATGATCGATTGTGATATTCAAACGCTGGCTGCGAGCTTATCGACACAGTCAAGTACACAGTGAAGTGGACGTTACAGTGCGGTACGCGAAGTTATCTCGTAAGGCCATAGTCATTTAAATAATAGTTGAAGTTTCAGTTGGAATATTTGTGTATTTGAAGTGAAATAAAGTTAACGTATTTCAAAAACACTTTATTGTGAGATTTTCACTAAATTGTTTTACACTCATGTTTATTGTTATTTTTCGTAATGGTTAAGTCCAGGTAATTTATTGAATTATTTACCTCCCTCTCAGTGGTGAATTTTATTGACGGGTGGATGGAATTGGCATATTCAATGAACTTGCCTAATTGCCTATCTGTACCAGTAAAACATACTAAGATATCATCTAAAGTTAAGTTTGATTATTCAGTGTAGTCAATTATTGGTGAACTTACGGGGGAACACGTAACAAATTGCATTTTATGTTTTACCGTTGACGGCTACTATATCATTTTGAAATAGTCATTTCAAGGAATGAATATATGTTTTGTTTTGTATTGTAAAACTGCAATACGTCTTTCATTAGATGAAAGGTTTTTCAGGTGTACTAGTGTATGAACACGACTAAGGAAGATATTGTACAATGAAACACGGATGATGTGTTGGGAAAAAACTCCAGTAATATTAAAGAAACACGTGTTGAGGTTTTGTAAACTGTTCAGTGAAAATCTCGCCTCGATTGTGATTTTCAGAAAATATGTAAGATTGCTCATGCCTTTCTGAAAAATAAAATTTTACTTCACTTCTCAAATACTTACATCCGTGTAATGATGAAAACAATCAGATTTTGGTTTCCCAACTGGACAGTCTCTCATAATAAATGAGGGGCATCCTGTGTTCTTCACGCATTTTTTTTTCGGGGCATCTTCACACTTCTCATTTCCTTTCTTACTAGTTTTCGCATAAGTTCTGGATACGATGAGATACGGCGAAGTGGAATAATTGCGGTTGATGATACTGAAGTTGTTGTTTTTGAAATTGACGTTGATGCTCGGGGATTTCAGTTCCGCTTTCTTCATGTCAGACACAGTGAGAGTTTTCGTTCTCAATTCTCTTATGGGTTCAGGGAATGGACATTCCAGTTCTCTGCAATATTAAGCGAATTAGACATGCGTATAACACTTTTATATATGAATATAAACTTTCACGGCCGCAGATAAATTAATCATCTTCAGTGACGTGATCGAATGTCAAGATGAATACTTCTACCACGCCACTGAAGATGACTGCCGCAGTTGTAGTTGGAACGTTTGGAGCTTGTAACTAAAGGAAACCACGGCAAAACCCCGAAAGCAACCAAAACATTGACGTCAGCCGTGGAATCATACATTCCTATATTAGACGTGAAAATGGTACAATGGGTCATAAAGTGTACAAGAAACCGCATTCCGCCTATTCCCAAACAAACGAGAAATATCTTCCAAATAACTATAGACTAGTGACTTTGCTATCAGCCATAAAGTAACATATCCTTGAATATTCGGAAGGCTTTACCATCTTGAGCGATCAATATAGCTTTCGGAAACAAAGATCAACAGGCGACCTGTTGTAATTTGGAATAACATAATCGAGAAAAATGGAGGGTCAAGAGTTGTTGCGCTTGATATTTCTAAGGCCATTCACCATGTATGGCATGAGAGTTTGCTTGCCAAACTTCGATGCTATAGCTTGTCGGATCATTTTTGTGTATGGCTCTCAAGCTTCCTGAAAGAAAGTGGCCATCGATGGATATCTTTTGAATACTTTTACCATCAACGCTGGTGTTCACCAGGGATCCATATTGCCTCTAGTATCGTATATCGTATTTTGTATATCAACGACTTATTGAGAAAAACCAAGAATACAATATATTGCTCTGCTGTCGACAGCACACTTGTCTCTTCATTCCATTTGGATTCCAGGACATCGGCTGCGGATGCACATCTTCACCGGCAGCAGGAGGCTGGATATCCTGATGAGGATCTAGAGGTGATTTCGAATTGGGGTGAGAGTAACCAGGTTCAATTAAATGCCACAAATACCCAGGCATCGGTTTTCTTCCAAAAGATAAATGTCTCCGAATCGGATATAATAATGTCAAGACAGACTATTCCGCTTTCTGTTTCGATCAGTTTGTTGGGGCTTAAAATATACACAGTAAAAATAAAAACTGAGAAATATATTCTCTCAAGTTGGAGTTGAATCATTACTTCGAGTAGAAAAAAATATTTGAGTAGAACAAAAATATTCCACCAAGATTGTGTATACATTTCAATAGAAATCATCACATTAGCTCAAGAGAAATAAGTATGCATTCTTTAGTGTGAGCAAAATTAACACTTCCTCCTTGAAATCACAACACCCAGCATCACTTTCCAACACATACTGGTGCGTACGCGATGCTTACATGGGAATTCCACGCTCCCCTCTCACAAAAAACACAATTTCCAAAAGTTTCTGAAGTGAGAATGAATGATAGTGTTACAAAGTTTTGAAAAGATTACACAAGTAGAAATTCGGACTGTGTCGTGAAGAAAAATAATAACACCTGTGTTCATTTCAATTATCAAGCATAAGGTGAAAAGTATTTATTGTACTTACAATCCCATTTTTTATAATTTTCTTCACAAAACATTACATTATTGAAAATTATGTCTAAAATTTGTTTCATATTTTCGATTTGTTTAGAATCCACCTTTTTTTTCATTATACGTACTATATATTTCATATATTACGTTAATGGAATACTAATAAATATACAAAGTAATATCGTTATGTATTATTTTCATCCAATTTCTATTCAAACGAATGTTTGAATAGAAATTGTTAAATATATTTAAGGAAGGAAACAAGTACCTACAAATGTTATTATTTTCTTTTACAGGTTTCTGATACAATAATGGTGCTTTCTCCATAGTTTATCAATCATGTCAGGTTCAGGCACTAAGAGAGATAGACTTAAAGGCGGAAAATGGAAATGAGGTGCCGCAAAAAAAAGAAAATTTCTTTCTTTAATTAAAGTAAAATGCGTAAATAGCCACAATGTCAGTGACTTTGACCAGAGTTTCAATACGGCGACTTAGAAATGATGTCTTATGAGTCAGGTTTTTTCGTTTTAAATATTGTTAATTATTCAAAAAAATGGTAAATTTTCGTTTTGAGGACACCCGGCGATTTTGAAAAAATGTTTACGTGTACTTAAGTATTTTGATGCGTAGATTACGAATCCGAAAGAAAAAAGCGGCGCTCTCCCTTATTTACAAAGTTACGGGCCTTCAAAATTCTGAAAAGGGCAACTTTTCAGCGTTCTTTTTCACAAAATAAACTATTTAGAAACACAAGCATCTACTCACTAGGTCACCTTTACACCTTATTCCTTCTTCTTTGACACTTTTCACTTCAATAATGAACATTTTTCTTATAAAAAACTTAATTCAAAAACGAAAGAGCGCCGCTTTTTTCTTTCGGATTCGTAATCTACGCATCAAAATACGTAAGTACACGCAAACATTTTTTCAAAATCGCCGGGTGTCCTCAAAACGAAAATTTACCGCGCCGCCACTGGCTGTATCATATATTTATATATAAATGGTCGAAACTCTTATTAAGTTTGTGTTTGTGCAAAAATATTGATTTTCCACAATAGTGAAATTACACAACCTTTTAAAATTTCAACAGAAAATACCTACTGTTACAAAAATATCCAAAACTATTTGTGATTGAATTGAAAATGTTATATCGTAACAAATTAATATTCTACTCACTTATTCTCAGTTACTAACGGCTCCCATTCAACTTCACTTTTCACTTCTCGTAGTTCCATGAATTTGGGTAACATGGACGGTTGCAAATATCTCATTTCGGGTGGTATAAGTTCTTCCGGTTCTTTCTTAGGAAACTCAATTTTTGGCAGAACACTGGGGCGTTGTGTATGGGTTACAATATAGCGAAATGGAGCCGACTCATTATTTCCTTCATGTTCAATTTCAGTTTCAGTGATTTCGTTTCCTTTGTTATTTGAAAATGGTGAAATTATTTCAGCTCTGTTCGAAAAACATTTGTAATTCTGAAAAAACGTTTTGTTAAGATTTCGATGCTTCAGAAACAGCGAATGCAGGTCAAATATATTGGTATACGAATCTACTTACATTTGAAAGAAGTTCACGGACAATTTTGGTGTTTCTTAAAGCCATTTTGGCAAAAAGATGTTAAAATATGAAATGTGAAAAACAACAACTGTTTCAAATAAATTTCGTCATGGTTATGTGCCTTTTTCAGAGCATGCTCTTCTGTCAATAAATTATCGGGTGGCCGAAATATGAAACTAGTTCCATTTATGATTTGAGAGGAAAACCGGAATGAACAAGAACCACTTGAAAATGTACGTATATTGAAAAGTATGGCTTGCCATTAGGAATTCATTTTCAAATTGTCAAATGAATCTCAAAGAAAAATCAAAGATCTATAAAAGATGTATAATTTGACAGTCTGTAGGAGTTGTATTGATCTGAATTTTTTTGCTAGTTAAAAAAGCAAATCGCCCTTCTGTTTTTTCTGTGTATCTTCATCCTGTTATATCAATTCCAAATGCAAGAATACTTCAAAAATGTTACTTTATGTCAGTGTCAGACATAACCTCTCTAATACGAACTTCATTATATCCGGTTGGAAAAATGCTCACAACTACTCAACTGTCATGTACAAAATATCTCGGCCTCAATGTGGAATGCTATTTAATGGAGATTCGATTTCGAAAATTGTCAAAGTTTTCTGTTACAAGTGTTTTTTCTGAATGTCAGGTCTGTGGACATTGAGAAAATATAAAAAAAGAAATTATGAAAGTCTGAAAGTCTAAAAATTGATATACTGGATGTTGTTTTGAGAATTGAGATAGTGTTCATTATTCTGATTTCAATAGCAACTACGTACGCTCCATTTCCACAAAGCTATTTGAAATGAACTTGCTGAAAAACTGTCAATATTTCAAGTGTTTTTTGAGCACTTATTTCCATTTTCTACACAAAATTTGATGCAAATCCTTTAATCTATTTGTTTCGATTGCAGAAACACGCCAAACATGTAATACACTCTATTTTTATGCCTATCATCAACAAACTAAACAAACTAAAACAAATCTAAACAAATGAACTTTAAATAATGTTCAAGCCAGTCTCCAGTATACCTACACAGCAGGTTAAATGGACTGACGCCTGTCAGAAAACAACTACTCCCCTGGCTAATACCATGAAAGGCGTTGGATTGATTATATCCGACAGGCGTCAGTGCAGTTCATTTCTTCAGACTGGTTTACTGCCAGTCTTCAAACATAGACCACTGACTAATAAGAAAGTTTTTCTTCCTTATTCAGAGGAATTGGGCAAATTACGGAAATGCAGTTGGTTAGTACCTCATCCACTAGATGAAGTGACATTTTGTTGTTCGCTCGAACTTAGGAAGAGAAATGAAATAATCTGAAAGAATTCCGATTTTCAATTATGGAGTATCATTGACTTTAGGTCGATGATGGCCACTATCTTTCACCGATGAGTGGCGAATGAGCCCGAAACCGGTCTGCAAGTGTGCCCGTTCCAAAATTGTTCCCAGCTGAATCTGGGAACAATTGTTCGAGACAAGTATACCAACATAAACAAATCGCCAATCGTTTGAATTATTTCTCATGATTTTTGTAATGAAATACTAGCTATTCCTTTACTACTGACGACCGTATGCAACTCTGTTTCGAAATTTGGAAATAAATGCTAAGTCGAGGTCTAGACGTGAGACGTTTCTTCTGATGGAGCTTCATTAGAAGATGACTGAGCTAACCAAATTAGTGTCATCAGGAGAAGACTGAGCAAACTTACACTCTTAATAGTTTTATTTCATTAAATATCTCATTTAATGAGTTTGTTTATGGAATGTGGAATTATCCAGGCACAAGTGACTTGGCACATTTGATTCCACTGTGGATGCTTTTCGTTTTGAAGTTAAACTCAGTACACCTCGAACTTCACTGTTTAAGAACTCCTTCATTTGGAGAACTGCGTTTATGTGGAATAATCTTCCTGAGAACGTTTCTCCAAATGGATTCAACCTCCAGCAATTCAAATCCAATGTGAATCGCTACTTTCGCACAGGCACATCTCTGGGAGCGCCTCAAGGATTTTCTTGTAGTGCATGTGTTTTGACCTCAGAAAAAAACCAACAAATACTCATCACTAAAAAAAATATCAAACATCATTTGTGTGTACATGTATATTTATACGTAAAATAATTGTATGTAAATTTTTTTCTTTCAACTGTTTTTTTTATTTCAATAATATGTCATTCAGTATCACTGTATGTTCATTTGTAATAATCTCTATAAACACTATCAATTAACTGTATCTAAAATTAGTGGGCACTATTTTTGGACTTATCTCTATGTGTCCCCAAGATGCTAAATAAATAAATGAATGAATACCGATCGTTAGGAAATTTTGTACTCTATAGTATAGAGTCTATACATTGACGCTGTTCATTAATTTCTTGCCTTTTTTCAGCGTATTACTATATGATGTCGTTAGGCGATTTTCAGTCACTGTTTCTCTACAAATGGGCTTGTTTCATAATTTTTGGTTTAAAGTTCACTCGATAGAAATTTCAAATTGAAAATCAGTGCACTTTGTTTCAGCTTTCTGAGTACCGTAATTAATTATTGAAAATCGAATATGGTAGGCTGGGGACGTCACGGCCATATTCCCGCTTCTTGTTCGAATGACCAATAGGAACAATATAAATAATCAATATTGCCAAATCGTAAGATTTACGAAGCCTATAATTATCAATTTAATTATGGAAGTGTATGTGAACCCGTTAACGTTTCAATTAATGAAAAATTCTCCATATGGCATAAAATAGACACGAAAAATCATGTTTGGAAATAAGTTCTATATCTTAAATCAGTACAAAAAGTCGAAATATCACAAAATATTTACCTTAACTATGATTTTATGCATCATTTAATAATATACAGTTATGAACATCAAAAATAGAGCAAACTGGATCAAAGAATCATTTCAAATATTCAATTTATTCTACAATCCCCAATCTGTACAACTGCAATTTATTATAACAAAAAAAAACGATTCCTACATACATACCTCTTCCTAATATTGTTACTAAATTCAAGTCTTTTAGGCTCGCCTGGGTAATCTGTTGAATCTTCCAAAACTTGAGAGGAAGGTTGAATGAGGTCAAGTATAGACAGAATTGATTGTACTCGAACTGATCCAACAGAAGCTTCTGAGGTAATACCATTATTCATATGATAAAATTTAATGGAGTAAAATGAAAGGCATTTGATATTTTTGCAAAAATATTAATTCATTTTGCTCAATACTTTCAGCAACAGTATTAACTCCAGATGATACTTTTCTGTGGAGAATAATGTGAAAAACTGTGTCATCATATTCAATATTTTCGTTCCCCTTTCAGTTATAGTCACTTTTTAAATGATATCTATAAAGTCTTGGAAGAGAAGAAGGCTGGTAGTTCTTTCTTTTCAATACCTTCACCCATTTTTTTCTCATCATTTCATCCTTTGGGAACCTTAACTCATTATATGAAATAACTCACCTACAAACCAATGCGCTTTCTGTTTTCTTGTGCCTTTCCGCACAATTAAAATCAGCACAAGAATGCACCATATTAATATTCAAATATATCTCTAAAACACTTTTAAAACACACACAAACTAAACTCGATGAAAAAACGAATTGTTCCTACGCGAGCTGTCAGCTAAGAAAAAGTTGAAACTCAATGTTGCAAAAACAAGCAGAATGCACCCGATATGACATACATTTTCAATGCCGAATAAACCAAAAAATGATATGGGTACTCCATTTTCCTGAGAAAATGAACGATCAATTAAAATTCTCTGTAAATATTTATTCATTTTTTTTTAAATAAAGCTCGAATCCACGAATTAAGCATAAAAATGGATAATAATATTTGCCTTGATAACTGATATAGTACAAGTTATATCTAAATATGATTCAAAATAGAATTTAACGAACTGTATTTTCTAATGGTTTTCGAACGCTCATGAACCCTAATAATATAATTCAATTATAATTATTCATGCCACCCACCGAAAATAAGAAATTCGACGTTACTGGTATATTAGCCATATTGTCATCCAGTCAGCCAGCGTCCTCTGTAGTGTATACGACAATGTGCTCTTTCTAATGTCAATGGTTTCCACACAGAACTTCGTATTTTTGTTAAAATAATTTCAAAATGAATGTTGAGCCTAGTTTTGGTAAAGCTGACTCCGACAACTTATCAAGAGTCGATTTTGAAATGATCGATGAATTTCACTTGAAAAATTTGCAATACTTTGATACCGAAATGAAGTAAGTGGTATATTTAGTAGGTTTCTTTTATTTATATGACATTCGTTTTTTGGAACACTGAAAAACTTTTTGTTTGTTATAGATGATATGTTTTTACAACTAGGTATAAAACATATTTTTACCATTTTGATGGTAGTAATGATAAAATTCAATCCAAAAATAACCTAAAAAATCATTTTTCGAAATGTAAACTAATGACATGGAATATGCAGCAAAATAGGCACCCGTCAAGACCTACCTTTTACAAAAAAAGTTCTTCAATTGGAAAATTATAACAGTTCCATTCACACAGTGTTGACCACGATAACAAAAATAGCGTCTGTCAAATTGGATCATCAGATCTGTGATTGGTTATTAAAAATCAATACACTTGGCAACTCCGCTCTAGACACGTTCAATTTTATTGCTCAACAGACACGCGGCCAATTTAAATTCTTGCTTTTCGAATTGTTCTTTTTTCTGCAAATATAAAGAGATCTCGGGACCGATCAGGCTTGATAAGTATAATATACCCCTAACTCGATCAGTCTATAAGCAAACCAGTATCATTTTCGATAGCATGAAACAAGCCCATTCGAATTGAGTCAAAGCGCTGCCGAAATAGACTGAAAAAATAACCAGGCATTTGGCAGTGAACGCACTGTTCACCGTTGGTTCTGGAGATTTCAGCCTCGAAGATGACCCCTAAGTGGTCGACCTACAGCACGAGAATTTGAGGACCCTGGTGGAGATTGATCCATCACAAACGGTGGCGGAAGAGTTTGGCGTCAGATACCATCGGTTTCTGATGGTTCAGAAAGCTCGAAGAGTGAGTCACTACGATTTGTACGATGGACACAAATTGTCACGTATCGGAGTCTGTTC